CACGAGAGTGGGGGGGAGAGGCTAATCCGGCCCAGCGGGACTTCCACGGCACTCGGAGCTGGGCAGAAAACGTTCGGAGCCGCTCGGCGCTGCCAGCCGTGAGCAGCCGGGACAAGCAGTGCCTTTGTTAGTCAAGAAGGGATCATTTAAGAGCTTCAAACTCTTCCACCTTTTCTGTCACAAACCGTTTGGAATATTTTGATCAAAGCTGTTGGGTTTGGCTGATTTGCTGATGGATGGGGGGTTTTTCGTAGGGTCGGGGGGATGAGATGGAGCGTTTCACCGCTCGGGACCGCCGGTCGGGTTGCTGAGCCAACGCGGTGTTGCTGGTGTATCCTCCCATCCTTGTAGCATCGTTGGTTTGGGATTAGAGTCTGCCACGGTGGGTTTGGGACCTGCTGGCCGTGGGAGGTTTCCTGCCGTGGTGGGCGAAAGGTTGACGCGGTGGTTTCATCATCCATAAGGACGAGAGTATGGGCAAACCACTGAGCCGGCCAGACTGTTTACGGCAGAACCGCACGTGCCTGGGGAAGGGCGAGGATGAGGATGGTTATATAGAGGATTGCTACGTGCCCCAGAGGTCGATATACGACACGATGAGAATTAACGAGCAAATCGATCAGGGATCGAAGCTCAACCAGCTTTCCAAGAGCACCCTAGGCAAAGGGGATGGCAGCACCATATCCAGCAACGGGACCCTGGGAGCTTCCAACGTCTTTGAGTCCAGGGCGCCAGAGCCGAAAAAGTTGGATGAGCGAGTCATCTTCGACGCGCTGAAACTCAGCAGTGACGTCTCCAAGCCAGCGCCAGCTCCACCAAAGAGAAGACCAAACCCTGAGAGGAAGGAGAACGTCAACCGGCGGTCATGGAAATCCTTCATGCCGCCCAACTTCACCGAATTCGCGGAAAGGATGGGAGCTTCGCTGAGCGAGGTGTCGGAAGCAGGAGCTTCCAACCCTTCCCTGCGGGATAAGCGAGATTCCAGTGCCATGCTCACCGAGCAGCCAGGCCAGCCCGACCACGGCGAGTCCATGTCCGAGTCGCTCACCTTGGAACACGTCTCCAAATCATCTGGCACAACGGAGGCTCTGGTAGCCAAGCAGTTTGGCGCGGATGGCTACAGTGGTCCCCGGGATGAGCATCAGAACTTGCTGAACGTCGGTGACAGCCGCATTAGGGACCTGGCCAGGGCTCGCCGGCTCCCCAGTGCCACCTGGCCACGGGCCAGGAAGAATTTCATCAAGGGAAACTTCAATGATGGGCACCAGGAGACCCTGGAGCCCTCCGGGTCGGACTCTACAGTGGAGAATGTCAACCTCTCTCCGTGCCTTAGTGAAGAGCTGCTGGATGCGGGACTGGATATTCTCATCACCTCCAATCTCAGGGAGAAAACGGAGTCTGAGCTGAGATTTGAGGAGGACGAACGCTGGGTGATGATGGAGGAGTGGGAGGAGGCGACGCTGTCAGAGAGAGGAAAGGCTGTTCTGGTGGCAGAGGAGAAGAAGAGCTGTTGCTTGGCAGATATTTCTGAGGAAAGGGAGCAATCCGCTGCTCCGGCGGATGGTTCTGCCCCCAGCCCAGGGACCTCCCAGTCCTGCACATCCCTGGGGTGTTCTGGCAGCGCGTGCTGTACTGAGGACACAGCAGTGCAGTGTGGGGTTGAGGACTTTGCTCCAGTTTTAGAGCGCTCAACCAGCCCCACGGGCCCCGAGTTGTCCGACACGGACTCGGTGCAGATGTTCCTGGAGCTAGAAGAGCAGTGCCTGAATGAGGATGAGGGTGGTGGGGGTGTGCCTGGCTGCCTGGAGGTTCAGGTCTCCCCTATGGACTCAGAGGGGCTGGACCCAGATTCAGCCAAACTGTCGGGGTCGATAGTCGAGGGGTGTCAGCATAGGGTCCCTTTGGACATCAGCGCTTCGGACTCTGCTGTCGTGTCAGATCTGGAGGACTTCGATGTCACCTGCAGCTCACAGGTGCTGAGCACACTGGAGCCATTGACAGAGCCCTTTTCAGAAAGGGACACCTTAGCTGTCACCCCGACAGACTCAGAAGGTGGGGCCTCCCCCAGCCCCGTGGCCACAGCAGGGCCAGGCTCCTTCCTGGAGTGCTCCCCTGTGCTGGTGGAGGAGGATGTTCCTGACCCACTGGTGGACCTCGTGGACAGTTGTGTGGTGGCAGTGACTGGTGGGACACCATCTCCTGTGGCAGGGGCACATGCAGCTTATGGACTGGGGGGAGATGGTTACCCCAGTGCTCCGGTGGGGTGGGGTGAAGATAGCCAAGACTTGCTGGTCTCTGATGGGGAAGTGTCACAGCTTTCCGAGGGGACCTATCCTGGCAGAGTGTCCCCAGCTGGACTGTCCCCCTGCCAGCCCCCAGCTCCGGACACAGCGGTGGAGGAGCTGGGGTCTCCCCTTCAGCACAGTGAGCCTGGCATTGAGGGGATGGATCCGTTCAGGACCCATCACCTTCTGCCTGGAAGGACTGAGGTCACCAGCTGGGATGTCCCAGAGCTGGTTTCTAAGGGTGAAGCCACAGATTTGGGATCTGGGAGTGGTGGAGCTGATGGCCGGACTCGCCCGGCGGAGAGTGGGGATGTTTGCTGTGGTTCTCTGCCGCCTTTCCACGCCGGCTCTGCATCAGAGCCGGGCTCCAAGGCTCCGACAACATTCCCAGTGCCTGTTGAGGACCTCCCATGGGGAATGGTTCCCCAGGGCCTGGCTCTGGAAGGGGCTGCCCACACGGAGGGGTCTGTCGTGCACAGGGGGACGCCAGCAGCCATCCTGCAGCTGGGAGACCTGGACTCAGTGTTTGGCCCTGGCTGGGAGGACCGTCCGGCGGGGCA